TATGTACATAATGTAGTTAAGCATGTGTGAGAAGATTTTTGCTTTCTTTAAAAAATAAATAATTTTCTCTTTTATTATGTACATATATAATTTATTTATTTAAATAGAAAATAATTTCCACTTATTTAGTTTTATATTTAATTTACATTTTATAATATACGATATATAGTGTTAGTTAACACAAGCATATAATATGCCTACATATAATTATATATTTAGAGTATAAATGTAAATATTATGCAGTGAGGTTCATCAATTAAAATATTCTCATTATTATAACTTTTATTAAAGATTACGTCATACCGTAATTACATATTATATTGTCATTTCAAATGAACTTTTCATTTGAATAACGTTTACACGTGGAGAGAAATCGAGAATTTATATATATATTATATACAAATGTACATAGTTACATAATGTACATATCTATTAATGTTAAAGTGAAATTATTTAAATTTTTTTTTTTGTTAATAAGTACTGTTTTCCCGTCTTATAAATTTTGTTTATAATTCAATTAAAGCAAGAATTAATATAGGATGATTAAAAATTTAAAATGATATTTTGATATAATTATAACCTATAAGTATATATGTATATACGTTTATATATTTATATATAAATATATAATATATTTTGTTGCCTAATAAATGATTCAGTCATTACGTTAATAATTGTTGTCAGGTAGGTGTTAGAGGGAAACAGAGTAGATTTAGGTATTGACAATGTTATGAAATATGCAATTTTTCTGATATTTTAACTTTAATGTATTACTGCAATGAAGATTATATATTTAGAAGTTTTGTTACATACAATATGAGAGTTTATACAATGGCACCAAATTCCATGTTGCCAAGTTTTTGACGGAAATACGTCTCCCAATGCTAACGAAATGTAAATAAACCATTTTTAGAGAGATGCATATCCGAAGTTTTTCTCCGAACTCCTGCCTCTCAACCATAGTAAATTTTTCGGTAATATCATAGGCTCGAGAACTGAACCTTTAATATTTGGTTTTCTCTAATGAAATAATTAACTAAATTGTTTAAAATTTAATATTTGACGTATAATTCTGATTGTCAAGAAAATTGTAAAATTTTGCAAGAAAAATGAATTTTCGATAATGAGTCTGTGCTAAGAATCAAATTTATATTTTGTTACATACATCTCCTAAAGGTTACTTTCTATTGCTTTCATATATAACTTGAAGTTTTGCGTTTAAAAGAAATTTTCAATATGTATTGTACATGTGTACGTATATTTTATTTTGAATTTATAATAATAAATCTAATATTTTAATTCGTTAATACGTTCACTGATTTATTATAATAAGCAAGATATTTTCACATAATATGTATAGTTGAATACATAATTATGTAGTATAGTTAAAAATACTCTATAAAAACGATATTTTCTTAAAAATTAAAAATTAAATTCATAGGTGTACATACACACACAAACATATGAGATAAAAAGTGTAAAACTATTCATGTAATTTAAAATTTAACACTCCATTAATGAAACATGGTTATAAATTTTCTTACATAAATTTTAAGAATATTTAAATTTTATTTCCCTACTGTATACGTAGTACGTACACGCTTATCATATTCAAGAATAAATCAACAAATACTTACATAAAACGTCGTATCAAGCATATACCAACATAGTACATACCATATTTACATATTTAAATTTCTCTTGGTTTATATACTTAATTTCTTTTAAAAAATTAGACACCAAGTTGAATTTTTTAAAATTTTTTATGTTTGAATGTATGTATGTATGTAAATTTAATATAAAATTGGATGAAAAATTTATTAACGTAAAATAAAATCGTCTGAGCTTTTAACCTCATTTTAAATTAAGCACGTGTACATGTTATGAAGAAAAAAAAACGAAATGAGAAATAGAAATAAAAGAAATAAATTTAAGCTGATAAAAGAGCTAAATAAATAATATCAAAAAGGAAAACTAACAAAAAATAAAATCTATATTGAAAAAAAAGGGAGGAGAAGATCAAAATAAACCTTTTCCGCCCTTATATACACAAACATATTTATTTTATACTTATAACGGAACATTAAACTTTGTGAAACTTTTTTTGTTTTTTTTTTTTTAAATACATACAGACTTGTTATAAACTTTATTATATAACATAAATATGGGAGCATATACATACATATGTATATTAGGAAGGTATATAACCTCGTAGTACAGCTATCAATCGCTGGAGCAAAAGTATTTTTCAAGTTAAAAAAAAATTTTTTATAGTTGAAGGAAAAAACTCCAATGCTAAAGTAAAAATTTAATCAAAAACATAATATTTATGTACATATATATATGTATAACACAAAAAAATTAAACTGTTATACAGCACAGAGTAACTGCGAATTACTAGCCTGTGGGATTCAAGAAATACAATAAACCCAAACAAGATCTCTAAATTAAGAAAGCAAATGAAAAACAAAATTTGTAATTTAGGAGTAGTCCGAAATAAGTTGAATTTCATAATATAACAGTTAACTGATTGTCATTTATGTTAAATATGCTGGTAACTCAAACTTTTAAAGTTTTATTTAAAAATATGTAAATATTTACATGAATGAACTTGTCAATAATTATATAGAAATATATATATATATATATATTATTTTATGAATATATGTACATATGTATAATTAATAAATATGAATGTCAAAGTTAATATTTTGTTATGGTTGGAGGAATAAATTTAAATTCCTAATAATATTGAATCATAAATAAGTTGGAAAAATTATTTTTAAGGTATAAAATTCGTGGGTGTTTGCATATACATATGTACGTAAATGCTTGAGTGTGTAAATAAAAAATCAGTCTTATTAAGAATATACAAATACTGTTATACAGATACATATCTTTTATATATGCATTATATATTAGCATTATTTTGCTAGGTAATTTAAAAAAAAGACGCTAAACAAAATTTTTCCATAGAATAAATTATTAAATTTTAATAGAATTAAGCATTAAACGTAAAGGTTGTCGTGTTATATAATTTAATCTAATGAAAATCAGAGTTATCAAAGTGTATTGCTTTTCTTTTGGCTTCCCAATTTTCACACCGGTATAAGTGTTAGAATCTATACTGAGTTAAGTAGTAATGAAGTTTAATAAGATTAAGTAATCAAAATCTTTTATTGCAGATTCTTTGTAATTCTCTCTGCCTTTCCTGTCGTGCATTTCGAAAGAAAAGACTTCGAACCTTAAACCGTGCAGTTTCTTTATATTATACTCTTTATTATCTCAAATTATTTAAATTTTCCAATAAGAAAATTTTCAATTTAAGAAAATTACAAAAAAACTTTTTAGGCCACAAACTTTAAAATTTTTGACTAGCAAATTTTAACATTTTTTAAACAGAAATTAATATTTTTACAAATTTTTAAATTAGCTCTTCAAAAAAACCAATTGAATTTTTTATGTGATTTGTTTTGATTTCTTATGAAAGTTCAAGATTATTTGTTTATACTCGTGATGGTAAAAATATAGTAGTAAACGAAAACGACAATAAAATACACGTGCAAACCAATACACTCAAATTTTGAATTTTTTTGTTAAAAACTTTGTATTATAAAAATACTGGCATGGACATTATAAGAGAGTGAGAGAGGAACTTTCTTATAGTAGTCATCAAAATTATCGGGAAATGGCAAATTTTTCCTAGAAAAATAAAATAAAATTCAGTATTTTTTTAAAAATTTTATTTTGTAAAGAGGAAAAATTCATTGCGCAGTTAAAATGAGATTTTTATAACATTTTTCAAATTGATTTATGTAATGTTCTTATATAGCATCTGTCAATGACTATAAAGAATCATTGAGAATAGAAAACAATGTCCAAGCTTTAATTTTTATTATACATAATATGACATTTTCAATTCTAAAAAAATAAACAGTTAAAGAAATTGAAAAAGAAAAAATAAGTGAATAATATCCTATAGACATTAAATGGCGCCTTTAATCGCTATCGTTGCCAATAATAATAATTATTACTGTTCGTTTATTTGGATGCTTGTGCAACTCTATAAATACTTATTAGTACCATATATACATTATGTTATAAATGGGCGTAAACACGAGGCAAATCTGTGTTTATATGTGTGTATATTAAAATACCCAAATTAAGTAGATACATACACACACATACTGTATTTTTATTTATGATTTCTATTTAATAAATTATATTCTTTTTTTGGTTATCGCTTTTGTTTTTAATTCTCTTCGCGATCCTTCTTTGATTTTATTTTTGAATTTTGTACAGGAAATATTAAAATAATGGATGAGTGAGCAAAAAAATATTAATATACGCAGACATAAAATATGAATAAAAGATGTATAGGAGTAAATACTGTAAATAGAGGCTAAATTTATTATTATTTTTTTTTATATGAAATTTGAAATTTTTGTATTATTTTTAGTCGTTCATTTTTCTAAATAATATATAAACATTGAAAACATTTGAGTTATTACAATAGAGAACGTGGATGCATTCCCAAAAATTTAATATACGTACAATTAGTTTAGTATAGGTACAAAAAAATCTCTTATTAATAAAAATATATACGGCAAGAAACCAGAAATTCAATAATGAAAATTTTCTGCTAACAAATCTATGTTTTAGTAGCTAAGTTGTAGAGGTTAAAAATATTAATATTGTATCGTCTTTTCAAATTAGCAAAATTTCAAAATTCGGAATCTTATTTCTTCGAAACTGCAAGTTTTGCAAAATTTCTATTCAGGCATTTTCACCATGTTTCTGCATAGTGATTTTTGCATTGTAATTTTGTTCTGCAGTCAAATATTTTTAAAAGAAAATTTCGACATACCATTTGTACGAGTATTATTTGTTATATGTCAAAAATATTTTTATTGTAAATGTCAGATTAAATTAATATTAATATTTTATAAATATTTTATTCTTTTTATTCATAATTGAATATTTTTATTTTTTATTTACAGATACTACTAATAAAATTATAAATAGACGTGATAATCATAATGGAACTGTTAGAAATTTTATGTCAATCAATGTTAATGATAATAATCATAGAAAAGATGATAGTACAAGAGTTAATAACGATGATAATTGTAATGAATCACTAAATAATGATCTATATAGCAATAACAACAATAATAATGGTCACAATCATAATAACAATAATGAAATTAACACATATTTCGATAGTAATAGTATTGATTTATTAACAGATACCACACGAAGAGAACTAATATCAAATTATTCAAATGACATAAATGGAAATGATAATTCAAATCAAAGTTTTAATTCATTTATATTATCTGATGCATCTTCAAATACATTTTGTGAACGTTTAATATTATTACCTACAACAATATCATCGTCTTCATCATCATCATCACCAGTATCAATAGCAGTATCACCATCAAGTATATCATCAGAACGTTTTGAAAATTCTTTAAGTCCATTTCAGGGTAGCAGTTGTGATTCTTTTAAATTGAATAATCATAATAGTAATAATAGTGAACAAAAATCAAAACGTAATCATCCATATTTTATTGAAAATAGATCTAGAAAAATTTATTACAATTCTCAACAACATAATCAACAATATTCACAATCACATAAAATTTATAATTCACATAATAAAAAATATAAATATGATAGAGATGAAAGAGAAAATTATAACTATAATGAAAAATTTCAATTAAAATCAATTAATGAACATTTTAATAACAATAATAATATACCATCATTTGTAACATCTACAACATCATCACAAACATCAAGTTCAACATCATTCTCTGATGATGATTTCGATGTCAATGAATCTAAAATACGTTCAATATTACAACAAAAATTACATTTACATGAAAAATCTGGTAAACATGATAAAAATTTTTATCGTACTAAAGGACTTGTTGAAATCGCTATTAAAACAATTAAATTAATTAGACGTAATCAAATGTTACAAATGAAATTACAACAATTACAAATGGAAACAAAAGAATTTGTACAATCAGTAATGTCAAATCAAGAGAATCGTGCTATTTATTCAAAACATAAAACTAATAATAACTATAATAGTAACAGTAATAATGATAGTAATTATGATAATAATAGAAATACAAATGTAAATAATCGAAATTCAATAAGCTCTAACAGTAATTGTTATAATATAAATAGTACAGCTAATAATATTCATACTGATGATATTAATGAAAACAACAGTAATAGCTGTCACGAAAGTAACAATAATAATAGAGGAAATCAGATAAAAGAATGCATTAATGATAATAATAATAGCAATAATAAAATATGTAATTTAAATAAATCAAATAATGTTAGTAATGTTAATAGTTCATTTAAAATTCATTAAAAAAAATAAAGAAAACAGTTTTATTCAATATTAAAATTAAAATTATATAATATACTATGTTTACATATACAATCATATATGTGATAACTTGAATGTATAACATTTGATTATGTAAATAAAAATTGGAAGGTAAAAAATTTAAGAGAAATTTACAATTATTACTATATGTTTTACAAATAATTTTGAGAATTGAATTAATTTTTTAAATTATTTTAATTAATTTATTAGAAGAGCTTTATATAATATCAAAATATTTATTTAAAACATAATATGTTATACGTACTGAGTTAGGCAGAATGTAACAAAATTTCTTAATATTCACAAACCACTGTATAAATTAATAATTTTTAGCTTTGATATTCTTACATTATAATATTTATTTTCTATTACAGTCTGTTAATGTTAATGTTAATGTAAATGTTATATACATGATTGTTAATAATTTTGTTTATTATTTTCTTTCTAAAGCACCATCTATTGACTTAAAATATTAAAAATTAAATTGAAAACTATAATTTTTTTTTTACAAAATGTAAAAAATTTTATTAAAAATAAAATTTAAAGAAAATATTTCAAGTTATCACATTATTTAATGTTAAGTTTAATTTAGAAATGCCTATAATATACATTTTATATAAATATATATCTACATAATGTAAAAAATTTATCTTCAATATTTTATAATGTATTCTTTAATTTAATATAATTAAAATAAATAATTATATTATTATACATAAAACATTTACTTTTTGTATCCATTATTAGTATTATTGAAAATTTTATAAAAAAAAAAATTTTTAATTTTTTTTTTTGTAATAAACACACCAATTTTTTATAATATATTATTAAGAACTAATATTATTGTGCTATTTATATTTAATTTTAATTCAAAAAGTAGGAGAAAAGAATGTCAAATTATTTAATAGTGGCAACATTAAAATTTATAAATTTTCTCCCTCAATCTTGAATTTTTCTTTTCCATGTCATTCCTTCATAATACCATTGGAGATCATAAGTGCATATTGAAAATTTTAAATTTGAATAAAATTTCTTTTTTTAATTTATTATTTATATTCCAACTTATATCACTTATGGGTTCCACTCCAATACCTGCCTTGCAATTGTTTCGGGTGGTCGTCGTAATGTATACAGTCTATTTATCCCCATTTTTCTCATTACTCTTGCAATAGACCCTTGGTGTGTTCAATTCCAGAAATCTTTGTTACTTATTCGTCGGGGCCGTAATACTCGTCTGGGCAGATAATTCTTAGGCTTCTATTTATGAATACATATCTGTATTTTTATTTGTGTACTCATTTTTCGTTAGCCATATGTTTCGGAGCCATAGTCAACAGGACTGATTTCATACATGTATTGAATATTTTAAATTTTTTATTGTTGCATAAGTGTTAGGATTTCTGGAATTAAAAGATTGTGAAATTTTAAGAATTTTCTTGAGAATTTATATATAATTTGTTAATGTTGCCAACTTTATGTAAAAAAAAGAATATTTCAGTTGAAAACAAAGTTACTATACATTTTAATTTTTCTAGACTATGATTACTTTTTAATATTCTAAGTAAAAAATCAATTTCTTATATATCTTTATATATTATAACATTAAATGTAAATATAATTTTCAAAAATTATATAATTAAATCATTTTCTATATAATAATATTTCTAATATAATAATAAAAAGAATTTTTTTTTTCAAGTATAATAGATTTAAAACAGAACAAAAATGTTGAGATAAGATTAATATTAGATTTTATTTTTAAAAATAAATTATATATAAAATATTTAATAATTGAATTACATAATATACATTATAAAAATGATTAAGGCTTAAAGTTATTATAATATTAAAAAATCAAATAATTGCATGTATTTTTTTTTTAAAAATAAAATTATTATTTTCATTAAAAATTTTTTAAGTTTTTATATTATTGATTTGAAATTCACATTATTTAGCTCTTATATAATTTGTAAAATATGAAATTTTTGTTTTTTATTCAAAAATAATTAATTCTCCAGCTAATTCTGCAATTTTAACATTAGAATTTGTAATTGTAATATATTATACCGTATATGATCCGATACTCTTATATAATTTGAAAAAAAGTTATTTTTTGATTCAGTTTTACTTCAGTTTCACTAGCATTTTATCATATTACATAATATACACTTAAGAGTTCGACAGAGTAAAAAAATATATAAGTATAGGTAATTTTTAAATCTGATTTGTATCTCTTGTTTTTTTTATTAAATTATTGATAAAAATGTGCTTAATTAGCAATTTGATAATTGGCTGGCCAGATCATTTTGAACTTCTAAATCATCCCCTACATACTGCAGCTAAATCACCCACCACATACTGCTTAAAAAGCAATGCGTAATTGATAATATTTTGGCCAAAATGTATAGAAAATTGATTAAAAATATGATCCTTTTGAATAAAAGATGATTTAGATGAAATTATGTATTATGATTGTGTATATACTTATATAGTTTATATTGTTATACAGAAGACAATTTTTGTAATTACACAAATCACTATTTTTTTGACTGATGCTAATGAGTAAGGGGAGTTTTTTAATTTAAAACAGCGTTACTCAAAAATAGAATTTTTATTGTATAATTACGAAAATTGCCTTCCGTATAGCATTAAAAACTATATATACACAAAATATTATTATATATTTTGAGAGTAAATGGCATCGACAATGAAAATCATCAATTTAAATAAAAATTAAATGCAAATTAACAACTTGTCTGGTCATTTTTTTTTTAATTAAAAGGCAAGTAATTAAAAACTCCTTCAGTATAATTTTTTTTTTGTTTTAATATTAACTTTCTTCAAAGTTTTCAATCGCCAGCAAACATTATTATTGCCGTATTACATAAAAAACAAACAAACAACCAGATAAGAACGTAAAAATTTACAAAAAAAAAAAAAAATTGCAGGCTTACAGGCGAACTTTTTTATATTATTCTCTTTGAAAAATAAAAAGTAATAGCATTTTAATTTGGTTTATGCGTCTACTTTCAAATAAGTTTTAGATTATTTTTACATAGCCAGTTATAGGCGATTGGTTTATAAAAGAATAAGACACAAGATTTAAAAAAAATGAATAAAATGAATTAAAGGAATTTTTTTATTTCAAATTTTTAATTTTTCACATAAAAGTGTGATTTTAATCAAATTTAAATTATTAGAAAATGTACTTATTCAAAACAAAGTGGATATGGTCACAATACAAATTTTTAACAATTTATTTTGAACTTTTTGTATAATTTATTTTTTTTGCAATTTTCAATTTTTCATTGCATATATTTTGGCTAAATTTTAAAAATTAATTTTTTTTATAAAAAAATTTTAAGATATTTGATTTTTTTTTTTATTTTTAATTTCTGAAATAACTACCTTATGCAATTGAAGCTATACAACTATATATACGTAAAAATAAACTTCAGAAGAAAGAAAAAATTATAACAAAAAATATACATACATATAAAAGGTAACATAACTATATTAACAATAAAAAAAAAAGTATTATCAAAATATTATTCAATCATTTATTATTCTAGTTAAAGAGAAATTCAAAGACAATTTTTTAATAAAATAAAAAAAAAAATTTAAAAATTTAAAAAAAAATAATTTAAAAGCAATTGTATTTAATACATACACTTTCATATACATATATACACATATATATATACCTTTCACATATAAAACAATAGCAATAGATCCCTTACATATTTACATTATTAAATTTGAAATTTAAAATCAGCTTTTAGAAGAGAAAAAATGTTATATAATATACACACACACATATATACAATATAAAAATTAGTAAATCAGAAAATATGAAAAACAAAAATAAAAACAAAATTGTATTTGCAAAATTTATAAAAAAAAAATTTATTTTTACATACATTATGTACGTATATAATATTATATAAATTAAAAAAAAAAAAAATACCAAAATCTATTGTAGAATTTCCACAATTCTACAAAATATGTTTTTAAAATTTTTTCCATTTGGTACAAAATACTAGTATACATATATATAAATCGCATTCTACGAGTATATGGTTAGTTGGACTGAAAAAATTAAAATAATTTAAATTTGAATCTTTCAGGTTCAGCTTCCTCATGTGAGCCCTGAGTTAGCTGTGTCCCATTTGGAGATCCCTGAGCAGTCTCACCTGATTCCTGTACATTTACAGAATTGCAGTGAAATATATTATGAATTAAAAATGGTTTGGAATCGATTGATTACGGAAGACTATGCCACCGTTTATCTTCCATTCGCGCAGTTTCTGATTCGCCATATGTTATTCTTGATTTTGTGGGCAAATAAATTTTTTTTACAACGCGTTGCTCCTTCATATATTTTTTTTCGGTAATTTCAAAAAGACATTTCAAAATATATAAAAACGTAAATATAGAAGAGCTACTCGGATGAATTTATGGAGAACTACAAAAAATTTCTTGAAAGAGTCGCATGTTTCGTGCTGTTCCGCAACCCGTGATATAAATTATACGTTTTCTGGCAAGTGATAAAATAAAATTATTATTGGTTTATTAAAAAATGGCGTTTCGGTATAGATTAATTAAATATAACCAGTTATAGTCCGGTAAATGTTAAAGTATTTGTAGTTCAGGTATATAAAATGAATACTTTATAAATTAGGTTTTTAAGTGGATTCTCTTGTTCTAGCAGATAATTTTTTTAGGAAATCAAATTATAATCGACGCTAAAAATGGAAAAATTTCGGTCCCATTTCTAATAACCCATAAATAAATTATATTCTCCTCTTGAGTCATCACTCTACATATACATATCTACAATAAAATTGCATATTTTTTATCAGCACTTTATAAATTTGTGAGATACGTTATGGTCTCACGACAAGGAGAACATGTGTAACTACCTATTCTATGCTTAAGTTGAAATCATATTATAGAATGATGTCTATAGAATGCGATAGAAATTTTTTTTTCGTAAAAACATTTGCTATAACATTGTCAGAGATTTATATACATACATATACGTAATTAAACAAAAATAAAAAAAATTTCGAGAAATGTTATCAAAAATATTTTGCAAACATATAAAAAAAAATTATAATATATTTAAACTTATATAAAATTCATTTATATTATTAATTAAAATTAAAATGTTGTTTTATTTCTTACGTCCTTATTTCTTATAAATTGTCCTTGATTCAATCCCGGATGTTAATAAATATAAATTTGTATTAAATTTTAAGCTCTCTTATTCTTCACAGCAGTCTCTTATGGGATCTTTTGCTGGGTGAACCGTACTGCTGATATCTTCATTAGGCAGACAATGACTCATGAGAACAGCTATACGGTGCCTTTATACGACGTAAATTTAGCTTTGGCAGTAATTTCTTTGTCACATTACTTGTTGTTTCATCGACCCATCTGAGGCGGATTTTCTTCATTGCTGAATTACCCAGCAACAGCTTGTATTTAGAGAAATTTTTTTTGTTTTTTTCTCCTTAGGAAAAATCCCTTAGGAAAAAAAAAAACCGAGGCCCTTAGGCCCCCCTCCCGTTGACCCATAGGATCTTTAGCG